TGTAAAGTACTCAGAACGAAGAGTGATTCAGCAAGAGTACTTTATTTAGCTAAGAACAAGACGAAAGACCCCGGCTCGCAGGCCAGTATATAAGCACTGAAAACCCACCACCAAACACACCCCCAGTCACCCTATAGGTTATTTACAGTGGCCGAGAGTCCCATTGGCTCTCGGCCGCGGACCTGGCCCTCTGATTGGTGCGGGCTAGGATCCGCTCCGCTATTGTTCTCAGGGAACGAAGCTTTAGGCTTGTGCTTGACCGCATGGCCCAACGGTCGCGCACGTGGTAATGGCGGATACATTACACACAATTTGCATGAATTTCTTCTCAATTTTTTGTAATTTTATCTATTTTTCCTTATATATAAAAGAGTTTTGGTGTCCCTCCTGCGCACGCTCCCGCAGCCTTTCGCTTTCACACCTGCCATTCTGAAGGATCCCCTGGCTGCATTGGCTGGCACCCCTGCCTCCGTCCTGCCCACAGAGGCGGCGAGCTGGCCGGCAGCGTCTCTGGCTCCCTGTGCTCTGAGCCACCTGAGGGGATGGGTGCTCTGGCGGCCAGAGGGCGAGCAGGCCCACTGGGAGAGGTGGACAAGAGGCGCAAGAGCCCATGCACATTCAGAAATGCCATGGTCGAGGTGGGGGCAGGGTGGCGACTGCTGCTGCAGCAAGAGGCCGCCCCTCCGCCGGCAGCCCTGTCATCGTAGTCTGTGGCAGCCGAGGTGGCTCTGATGCCGCTCCACACTGCGACCCGCCGCCACCACCAGACCCACTGCTGAACACACCGAGAGGTCTCCCTGATGCGGGCCCGCCGCCGCGCCAAGACCCTCCTCCTGTCCGACCCCAGTGGTGGGAGCTGAGACGCAGGCACCGGTGGAGCGGCTGTGCTCTACCCACCACTGGGCCTGGGGGACAAGGCCACGGCCGCCCCTTCTTCTCTCGAGGGGGGGTCTGGCAGGTGGCGGCTCAGCTAGAGTTCGTTACATTTGTCTCCGCAATGGGCCTTCTTCCTAGTCAGCATTTAAAACAGCACTTTCTCAACTAATTTTCCTTAGAGGGTGTGTCTGTTTGCTACAATACAAGTGAGCAAGGTGCCACAATGAGAAGCCCCAGAGTGGAATGACAGCCCCAGGGGGGTAGCAGAAGCATTCTGGGACTGGAATGACAGGCCCCAGAGTAGAATGAAAGCCCCTAGGTGTAGCAGGAGTGTTCAGGGACTGGAATGACAGGCCCCAGAGCGGAATGACAGCCCCTGGTTGTAGCAGGAGTGTTCAGGGACTGGAATGAGAGACCACGGAGTGGAATGACAGAGAAGTAGGTGTGTTCTGGAACTGGAATGAAAGGCCCTAGATTGGAATGACAGCACCTGGGGGTAGCGGGAGTGTTCTGTGACTAGAATGACAAGCCCCAGAGTGAAATGAAAGTCCCAGGGGGTAGCAGATGTGTTCTGGGCCTGGAATGAGAGACCACGGACCAAAATGACAGCCCCTGGGGGTAGCAGCAGTATTCTGGGAATGGAATGACAGGCCCCAGAGTGGAATGACACCTCCTGGGTGTAGCAGGTGTGTTTAGGAACTGGAATGAGAAACCACGGAGTGGAATGACAGCCCCTGGGGGTAGCAGATGTCTTCTGGCCCCATAGTGGAATGACACCCCTGGGTGTAGCAGGAGTGTTCAGGGAGTGGAATGAGAGACCACAGAGGGTAACAGATGTGTTTTGGGAGTGGAATGACAGGCCCCAGAGTGGAGTGACAGCCCCTGGGGCCTGTCATTCCAGTTCCTGAACACTCCTGCTACCCCCAGGGGCTGTCATTCCACTCTGGGGCCTGTCATTCGAGTTCCAGAACACTCCTGCTCCCCCCAGGGGCTGTCATTCCACTTCGTGGTCTCTCAGTCCAGTTTCTGAACATATCTGCTACCCCCAGGCCCTCTCAATTCCACTCCTTGGTCTCTCATTCTAGTCCATGAACATTCCTACTATCCCCAGGGGCTGTCATTCCACTTCGTGGTCTCTCAGTCCAGTTTCTGAACATATCTGCTACCCCCAGGCCCTCTCAATTCCACTCCTTGGTCTCTCATTCTAGTCCATGAACATTCCTACTATCCCCAGGGGCTGTCATTCCACTTCGTGGTCTCTCAGTCCAGTTTCTGAACATATCTGCTACCCCCAGGCCCTCTCAATTCCACTCCTTGGTCTCTCATTCTAGTCCATGAACATTCCTACTATCCCCAGGGGCTGTCATTCCACTCTGGGGCCTGTCATTCCAGTCCCAGAACACATCTGCTAGCCTCAGGGGCTGTCATTCCACTCTGGGGCCTCTCATCCTAGTACCAGAACACTTCAGTTTCTCCTAAGGGCTGTCATTCCAAGCTGGGGGCTGTCATTCCAGTCCCAGAGTAGTCTATTTGGGCTATATTTTCCCTATAATGGAAAATCTATTCCATATTTTTATTGCAACTCTACTTGTACTTGTGCCAACCCCCCCCCCTCCGCCTACCCACCCCAAATCTCCAGGTATTTCCCAACCCAAAGTTAGCAACCCTACTGCAATGTTCCCTCTAAACTGTGGAGTCTTGTGAGCAAAAATTCTACTTTGTGAGCGACTGGCATTAAAGTTGTGAGCAAGCGATTTGTCTACTGCATAAATTAGTTTGTTCTGGAGCCACCCTTCCTGAGCTGAGACAAAAATGTGTGAGCTGGAGGCTAAAAAACTGTGAGCTAGCTCACACTAACTCACTTTAGAGGGAACACTGCTTCCAAGTAACTATTAATGGACCATTTCCAGCGCTGCTGGCAAGTAGATACCGCTAAATATTCACGTGCTCCCCTTTAAAACACAGGGACCTTGCTAAAATAGAAGCCACGGCCAGTTCTACCAACACCAGCATCGCTATCGAATCTACTATGGAGCGCAAGGACAACTCCGAGAGCTACTGCACGTTCAGGATTACAGAGAAATGGCAAACGCTGAGGATGCCCACAACTAAAATGGCTGACAACATTACGCTGTAAAAGCTAAACTCAAGATGGTCGTCTGGGTTGTCGAGGGAACTTGCCAGCATCCAAAATGGCTGATCTAACAACTACGAAGACTACCATAGACAAGACCCAGACAAGCTTTTCGGGATCTGTGTGCCCTGTAGGTGGTGCTCTCTATGGTAGCTGGAGGGTTTGCAGATCTCTATGGCATCGGCGGTAGCGTCGTTGCGGTTGGCCGACGGGGGCTATTGTAGCCCCCTCGGGTATTAGCGGGCTGTTTGATTGCGGGCCGTTTTGAGGATGCCCCTTGGCGAGTACGCCTTCGTGCGGGTCGCGGGCAAAGGCAGCTACGGGGAAGTGAGCCTAGTGCGACACCGGCGCGACAATAAACAGGTAGCGAGGGCCCGGGGGGGAGGGCTGTGTGGGGAAGGGGGTCCTGCACGGACCGGACGGACAGAGGTGTAGCGCCCGAAGCAAATGTACTCGTAGCAAGCCTGATTCTTCACACACACACACAGATACACGTTCACAGGCAAGGATGCTGGGATTTCCTTGCCACTTGCATTCACTCCCTGGTTTGAAGGAGAGCGCCTGAAAAAAAGCTGTCAGGGACAACTCAGGAACAACAACAAAAGTGGTCTGAAACGTGTTTGGTTACACAGTTGGGGTGCTTCGAGGCAAAGGGATTGATTTTCATGCCTGTATGTGATTGAAGTTTCTGAAACGAAGATACCTTTCAATACTTTGAGCCCTGCCTCTCTACAATATGCGTCACTTTTTCTGTACCTTTGTATCTTCTCCCCTTTGTGAAGATGGATTTGGATATGGGGAATGAACAGATTTTGCTTGCCAATTTTGTTTAGTTGTTTAATAACAATAAAATGTAATCCTTGTAAGAAATAAATTAAGGGCAGTAACAGTTGCTGAAGAAGGCTGTGGTCATTCATAGTATAGAGCACTATATAATATCTCAGATGAATAATTTTTTTTGAAATCATCTGAAAATCTGGATGTCTCATGTTCATCTGTAATGTGCCTTGTTCACGCCTTTTGAATACTTGTATGATTTGGTATTGGTGATAAAATATTTGGGTCCTGAAATTTATTTATTGAGGGGTTCTTAATCCAATAGTCATACCAAGGCAGTGAAAATGTTCTAAAACAACTTTATTGTGCTATGGCCAAAAAATCCTTCCTAACTTCAAAAGTTACAAAAGCATTCTTCTTCCTTCTTCTCCATGATACCTTATATTTATACTCCAGTTTTGTCATCTTTACATCATTTCCATTCCCACCAGATACATAGCATAGCAACTCAGTACATCCAGTCATCTGCAGAAGTTAGTCTACTGTGCATATTTTAAAATATTTCCCCATATTATTGAGGTCTTCTATCTACTGATAAGAAGCCGTGTTTAGCTGCTGAAACTGCTCCTGAAGCCACAGGAGGTGGTGGTGGCCACAAGCATGGACGGCTTCAAGAGGGAGTTGGATAAACATATGGAGCAGAGGTCCATCAGTGGCTATTAGCCACAAGGTATAGTTAGGAACTCTCGGTCTGGGGCAAGTGATACTCTGTATTCTTGGTGCTTGCTTGGGGGGGCAACAGTGGGAGGGCTTCTAGTGTCCTGGCCCCACTAGTGGACCTCCTGATGGCCCCCAAAGAAAGGGGGGGGACTAAACAAACCAGGCAAAAACCTCCAAAGGAAGTTTAGAAAATTTATTGAGGGCCAAGAGTTAAAAACATTATAGACAAAAGTGTTTATTTCAAAATACACCAAGTAACAATTTTACTTGCACTCTTAGGACCTAAACTGGAAGGTACATATTGGTACTGATATTATTTCCAGTATATGCATGGTCAGATATATTTGTGGCCCCAACTAAAAATCTTTTGGTATGTCATTCAATTCCAGATTGGAACATTCCATTTTTGGTCCTATATTATTAATTGTTTATTGCCTTACATGTGTTACAGGGACTTTGTTGCTTGGTGTATTTTGTACTTTGTACTATTTGACTTCTGAAGAAGGCTCTTATGAGCCAAAACGTGTCAGGTCTTTTTTGTGCATTTGTCACTTTGAACATTTTATGAGGCTTTATTTAGGCCCCTACAAGGTTTTTATATGTCTTTGAAATAAACACTCTTTTGTCTATACTTTTTTATGTTTTTAACTTTTGGCCCTCAATAAGTTTTCTAAACTTCCTTTGGCCCTCCTGATGGCACCTGATATTTTTGGCCACTGTGTGACAGAGTTGGACTGGATGGGCCATTGGCCTGATCCAACATTGGCTTCTCTTATGTTTGTAAGCTTCCAGCTATTCTGCCAGCTCCTAGAGCACAAAAATTAATTCTTAAGCAGAGCAAGCTGCATTATGAACTGGTTTTAGTCATGCTGAAGGATAATTTTTTCTTCAGTATACTTCAGCAATTCTTGTCTAACATGGACAATTATGAATTGATGGTAAAATTAATTGGTAAGAGCAAATACTCTGTCTGGCAAGAACACATGTATATACATAAAAAAAATCTTTCCATCTCCTTCAGGGATTGTTAATGCTGTAGATGTTGCTGTACTGATGTGATGTCCCTATCAAGCCACATGGTCTTCCAGGAGAAAACCAAGGCTGCGATCACATGCTCCTTTAGATCAGACATAGGCGCAAATGCCTGATGGATCTAAGGGGAGTGATCAGACAGCAACAGCTGGGAAGCATCCCACAGTCGTCAGCAACCCGTGCTGCTCCGCCATGGAAGTTGAGTTAAAAGACACCAGGGAAAGTTCGGTGTTATCCGGATAAGGCAGGCCACGGGTGGACTTTCCCATCTGATCTCTCAGGCATGCTCTCATGCTGTCGGGATGGTCTGATCAAGCCATCACAACTCTGTGCCATGTTCCCCCCACCTCCAGTATGTGCATCATCGCATACTCCATAGGGGGCCCTCAGTGTGGAGGTGCGATTCCTTGATTGCTCGTTTATGCGCAAGGGAAACAAATGGCAAAACTCCCCACGACTCACCCACAGTTGTGTCTGATCACACAGTGACGGGCTGCGTCCACAGCTTCAAAGGGCTGTGTGATCTCACAACGGTGTGTCAAATTCCTCCGGAGGATATAGCCTCTCTTCCCCTGCGCTTCAACTGGCGTGTGTGACCGCAACCCAAGACTAGTATTCTGAAACTCTTTTCCTCGGATAGTACTTGTGCTCTGAATATGTAGTCTGCTGTCAATTTTATACTCTTGCAGGGCAGTCCTAAGATGAATTACATCCTTGTAAACCCATTTCCTTCAATGAATTTAGAATGCTGTCACTGCTTAGTGTGACACTGTTAGTCTTTTCTGTTCTAGCAAGATCTGGCAAGTGAAGATATATGTTGTCAAGGGCAAAGCTGGCAAAATGATTTTCTTTTAAAAAATTGAACTTCAGAATTCAAGTTGATGCAAGCATCAGTGTAGCTGCATAGATGCTGAAAGAGACCCCTTCTGCTAAAGCAATGCATTATTTATCAATTAAAAGCATATATGTGCAAATGTATAATGCAGTTACCATTTGGGAGAGGGAATTATGTTCTGGCTTTGTATTTCATATGATTATTAGGCAATGAAGTTAGGGATTGGGCCCTAACTGCTTGCATTGTCATCTCTCTTTACAATGAACTGCTGCATACTTCCCGCTTGCTCCCTTGTGTTGCTGTATTTTACCATCAGACCCCACTGAGTTGTGTGCTGCACTTGCAAAATAGGTATACTGTCCCAGTAGAGCAAAAAATGGTTCCACTGCATTGCTACCAATGTATGCCATTGTAACTGATCCTAAAAAATATTTGGACTGCTAGAACCTTAAAAAAAACTGTGCATGAACTTCTGTTGACATGAATAAGACAAATTAGTCAATGGGCTCTTTTTGTAGCAGGTACTCATTTGCATATTAAGCGACACACCCCTAATGTAGCCAATCCTCCAAGAGCTTACAGTAGCTCCTGTAAGAAGAGCTCTGTAAGCTCTTGGAGGATTGGCTACATTAGGGGTGTGTGGCCTAATATGCAAAGGAGTACCTGCTACAAAAAGAGCCCTCACAGTGAGTTAGTTTAAGCTTAATAATTGTAACAGAATATTTGCATTGAAGTGAGGATAAAACTCCAATGAAATTAATTGAACAATTTCTACATAGTATACTTTGGATCAGATGCAGGATTTTTAGGACTCAACATTCCCCTGCATTATGTTTAACCCTTTATTTCTTCCTCTGCAGTTTGTTATTAAAAAGCTGAACCTTAAACATGCATCCAGCCGTGAGAGGAAAGCAGCAGAGCAAGAAGCCCAGCTGTTGTCTCAGCTAAAACATCCCAATATCGTCACCTACAGGGAGTCCTGGGAAGGGGAAGATGCCCTTCTCTATATTGTTATGGGCTTCTGTGAAGGAGGGGACCTGTATCATAAGCTGAAAGAACAGAAAGGAAAACTTTTGCAAGAGAATCAGGTGGTGGAATGGTTTGTTCAGATTGCTATGGCGTTGCAGGTAATGTTTAAATTAAATTAAAATTAAAGTTTCACTTTAAATGCTACACCTTTAATTGTGGATTATCTCTCTAAATTTAGGGGGGAAACCTTTCTTAGAATTTCATCCATTGACCAGATTTTAAATTATAATTCTGGCAGGTTTGGTTCTTCTTAAAAGTATGGTAAACCAATAGAGATGTGTAGTACAGTTTCCTAATGAATAACAGCTCCCTAATGAACACAGTTTATCCTCTTGGTGAACATCTCCTGATTATTTTAGTGCCATTTATATAAGAAAAATCCCTGGTGATTAGTCCCTGTCCAATATTTAAAGTGCTTTGATTATACTTTTGATTATACTTTTCTGTCAGTAATGCTGATGGTCTTTGTTACTGGTAGGGTCAGTAGTGTTTTTCGTGACAGTGGTAGCAATTCGTAATTAAGGATACACAAACATTCACCAGTTCAGATTACGTTTGCCACTGATCATGAGGCAGTTGATTAATTGACAGGTTGTTCAGATGTTTGTATTGTATTAGATTCCATGTCAAAAATGAAGTCAAATGAGGAGGAAGTTCTTGTTTTTTATTGTAATGAAATATGGAAAACAGTTAGGCCAAAGGACCCATCAAAACTGACTACTTTCTTCTCAGCATAATCAGGAAACACGCCTCAATTAATAGGAAAACAATTAGACCAAATAGTTAACCAGAAATTGACAACTTTCTTCTTTTTCTTCTTCATCTTCTTCTTGAGCATATTCTGAACATATTCAGGAAATACATAAAGTTAAATACTTAAAATGACATCATCATACCATCATCATGGGAATAATATTCAAATGGCATAATTGGTTACAAAAACTTAAACAACATTTACATGAAAATCTCCTTATTGGTCAAATGGAAGTAAGGTGTGTCTATGCAATAGCATCACATATTTACTTGACATGACCTAAGGCATATCGGCTAAAGCTTGTTCTCACCCAAACAAAAGTATTCATTACTGATATGAGACTAAAATCTTATCTGACCCAAACATTGAAAAGTTTGCCCTAAGAACTACAGAATCATGAACTTTGTACCCATTATGTTGTCTGCTAACAATATCAGACCTACAAGAGGAAAGCCTTCTATATAACAGGCCTTTCTAACATCCTAATAAAATATTACTTAAATAATAAATCTATAAAAACCAGAGAAATATGAATAATCAAAACAGGGGAAAATCTTTATAGTCCCATCTCTACTACAGTATCTATTATCAGGAGCCAGGCTACTTAGAGCCTTCAGAAGCCAAGATCAGCTAGGAGTTGGATTCTTTTGATCTCCCATTCTGGGAGCTAATTGAGTTGCTGCATGTTAGAGTTGCTGAGATATACCAAATTTGGAGGGGTGGGGTGAAGTCCCGATGATTCCCCATCTCTTCTCCCCACCCCAAGCTGTTAGTTTAGGAAGTCAGAGAAAAGAAGCAGATAGCTTGGGATGCAGAGAAAAGGAGAGAAACTGTTTCTCCTCTCTCTTTTGCAGATTGCTTCTGCTCCCCCCCCCCCCAGCTTGGAGGGGAGGGAAGAGAAACAATCTATTTTGCAATGGTAACTTCTGATCTCTAACATCACTGTAGCAATTTTTCGAGGGGGGTGTTGATCAGAAGCCCATCCCCTGCTGATCTTCATCAGCTCCCAGCAGATAGGGGAGTGCTGGGAGATCAGAATTTGACTGCCAGCCGATTAAGGGATCAGCTTCTGGCTGTCAGGCAGCTACAAAATTGTTTGGCAGCTGGTTGAATTGCTCAGTGTTCGCTGTACATATCTTTGATTCACTCAGATCATGAGCACTGAACATGTTCAACCACCGAACAGGTTCACTGCAAAATTTATGGCATCACTATTTGTAATGTGTTTGTGTTTTAATGTTTGGTTTACTTTGGGGTTTTTTTTTTGTATATTTGTACCAAATATGAATTATGGAGAAGGCAGGATATAAATTTTAAAATATATAAACAGATTGCTTTATTTGTATCCTACTGCTCCTCTTTTCCCTACTGTGGCATACATGAGAGAAATTAGTTTTATCCTTGCAGCAACTCTTATGAAGTGAGCAAGGCTGTGAGACAGCAACTTGCCCAAAGCCATTCAAGGCTCAGCAAGAATTTGACCCAAGCTCTCTCTGATCCAATTTCTACACTCTACCACTTAAAAAAAAAAAATTAATAGTGTGTTTCACTGCGATACAATTTTTGTGTGTATGCAGCCTTATTGCATGCTTTTGGCATTATTTGTTGATTTAATTGAAATAGTTTGATCCGGCTTTTTAAAAATGCTCAAGATAGTTCAGGTACGTAATGTCTGTTGCTTGTTAAGTGTCAAACATGTGTTAGCAGAACACTTTGTGAGTGCCAATATTATATTTTTCAGTATTTGCATGAAAAGCACATTCTACACAGAGATCTCAAAACTCAAAATGTTTTCCTGACACGTTCAAATATCATCAAAGTGGGAGATCTGGGAATAGCTAGAGTGTTGGAAAATAAGTACGACATGGCCAGTACTCTCATAGGCACACCGTACTATATGAGCCCTGAGCTGTTCTCAAACAAGCCTTACAATTATAAGGTAAAGTATATTCATTATTGATTAGTTATTTCAGTATGGCTTTTGTTTCATAAGGCTTTTTTTCAGTCACTCTTCTCACTGTCCAATGAGATGCATACATTCTTTTCATGGACAGTTATTGTGGCTGATCTGTGATTGAACTCTTAGCATGGCTGGCTCTTAATGAGAAGAGTGAATTATATTAATGCAATCAGTGTGATTTATTATTACCAGTATGGTTGTGGGCTAGAATTATTATATTGCTGGTTTTCTTTAAGCTGCATTTATAGGATTGTGTCCTAATGGTTTTTCCACTGAGGAAAGAAGAATGACAGTCCCATATTGTGTAAGAAATTATATTCTGGGAATTTCTTACTGATCCAGTCCTTTTATGCAGGTAGTTATTCAGCACTGGGATGCATTGGAATCCTCCTGTATATATAATCCTGTTTTGGTCATGGACTCCCCTGAACATTCCAGCACGCTCCAAAATCAGTTCACTCTCTGATCTGTCATTCAGAGGGTCTCCCTATCCACTAGCTGCTTTGCCTGAGTCCTGCATCCAACATTCTAAATAGTTTGCTTTTCCTCTCCCCCCCTCAGCCAGTCAGAACACAGAGGTCATTTGCATATGTGGCCTGATTCGTCTTTGCCTTGGAACACAGAGGTCGTTTGCATATGTGGCCTCACTGTCCTTTCCCTCTAACATTCTAAACAGTTTGCTGTTGATGTTCTGAGGTAAAATAACTTTCCCCTTAGGTTCTGTTGGGGGAAACCATGGTTGCAAATCTCCAGGTGAGGGCTGAAGATCACTCTGAATTACAACTGCTTTCCAGATGGAAGAGATCAGTTCCCCTGGAGAAAATGGGGGACTCTGTGTCCTTATATCTTGCTGAGATGGCCCCTGTATGACAGCTAATGTGACGCAGCAGTCAGGGCTTCAGCTATTAAAACTGGTGTCCAGATGACCCAGATCAGTTCTCCTGGAGACAATGGCTGCTTTGGGCAGTAGATTCTATGGCATTATACCCTGCCGAGGTCCCTCCCCACCCCAAACCCTGCCCTCCCCAGGCTCTACCCCTCAAATCTACAGGTATTTCGCAACCCAGAGTTGGCAACCGTGTAATCTGCTATGAAACTACTTTCCAGACCCTTGGAACCCAGAAAACGTGGCACAGGAGGAGGTGCTTTTCTACTTTAGCTGCCACTGCATAACACCCCCCTCCCCCTCAAAAAATGTCAGAAGTGGAGAGAACCATATCTGTTACCATGAGGCTGTCCTCCCATTCTACCCACTTGGGGCAGCAAAATGACTTGAGACAGGAAAGAAACATGGCTTGCCTCCCTCCATTTTCCGCTTCCCTCTGCTGCCCCACCAGCCACAGTCGGGACACTCATCGGGAGCTTCCTTCTAGATCTCGTTGTATTTCTTCCCGCAACGGGCATTACTCCTAGTTATGATTATATTGCAGTTTCAGTGCAGATCACGGCACAAAAGTTAAAATGTTTTCTTTCCTTAGGATGCAACATGTCTTTAACAAGTGACTTGGAGAGTTCATAGGGAAATTTCATACCTCTTTTGAATTAGGACAATTCAAATTCTTTTAAAATTTTATATTTGGATGATTTTTAATAGTGGGTTTTTTGCTTAGACAATTCAAATTCAAATTCTTTTAAAATTTTATATTTGGATGATTTTTAATAGTGGGTTTTTTGCTTAGACTAACTTTCTTCATATGCAGCCTTTACTAACTAATGATATTTGTACCAAAATTAACTTTTCGTACTGGATGACACTGAGATATTAAAGTTTATATTTTATTGTAGTGCCCCTGCTTCAGCTTTAACTATAGATGCTGGTGTGATTCTTTTACAAAGAGCTTTCAGAACATATTTCTTGTATTTTTCTCTTTTTTTACTTCTACAGTCTGATGTTTGGGCTTTGGGTTGCTGTGTCTACGAAATGGCGACATTAAAGCATGCTTTCAATGCTAAAGACATGAATTCCTTAGTTTATCGAATTATTGAAGGAAAGGTAAACTTTCTGTATTATTTTGCTGTGGTAAACATGGATCCCCATCCAAACACCTTAGGGCTTTGGACACGTATGGAACTTCATGTGTACAGGAATTACTCCTTTCTTTTGTATCAGGAAATGCTCAGGAACCACAGTTGACAAATCCCTGTGATGCTAAATTGGACTGCTATAACAGAAATGTGATATCCTTTCCTGTATAAAATGTCAGGGGTAGCCTTGTAAGATACTACTAGCATGATGTGGTGCATGGGTTAATAAACTTATGTCAAGGTTTGGGATTTAAACGTGCAATTTTTGACTAGTCTTCAGAAATGTAGATAATACTTTGCCTTTCCCATAGATGCATAAGATTGTGGGTGATTTCTCACTAGAGCTGCCTCGCAGCACAGCGCCGTTTGCCTCGACACAAACGTGTCAATTTCACACCCGAAGCTCCGGGGCTGCATTTGACTCGGGGCTTCGCCCGATTTCCTCCGCAGTTTCATGATCCTCAAAAACCAGGATCACGAAACTGCGGAGGAAATCGGGCGAAGCCCCGAGTCAAAATGCAGCCCCGGAGCTTCGGGTGTGAAATTGACACGTTTGTGTCGAGGCAAACGACGCTGTGCTGCGAGGCAGCTCTCGTGAGAAATCACCCCGTGTCTACATAAAGCAGATACAGATGAATTAGTAGTTGGGACTGGCTTAAGGTATTTTTTCCTTGGGTAAAATTAATAAATAATTTACCAGGATTCTGTTTTCTTAGATTAACTTTAGTGCTGTGATATTATCAGAATGTTAACAAAACATCACAATATTTCAGAAGTCAACAGAATAATCTGTCTGCAGCCAACTTTTAGAATAGGCAGTAGCTCTAAACAGATGTTCTAATTACACAAAGTGGAGGGATCATGATTGGGTTCGTTGGCCCATTCTCTTGGTGCAGCTGATGCACATCAATAGGACTCTATGGTACATAAAAGAAAATAGCACAATCTGTATTCTTCAGTTCATGGGAACACAGTTTGCTCTTATGCATGCAGTACACTAGGAGTATGCTACACACCATGTGAACAGGTACCTGCTCATTGAGTTAGCCCACTGGCTGTACACATCTATGATGTATAAATATATGGGGGTCTGGAAAGCCCCTTCCCACCCTGCTTTACAGACCCCTATATGAACACGAACTGCTTTTCTGAATAAAATGTTACTCAAAAAATACACGCCCAGGCTTGCTCTGACATGTTAAAATGTGATGGCGCTATTTGCATTATGGGTTTTAGTAGTCTAATAATTCCAGTTGTGCCACATGTCAAGAGAGACAGTCACCTCTAGATCAATCAGCCTGACAGATTAAACATCACTGTTCAGCCATGTCGTAAATTTAAAGCATTAGCCTGTTTCCTGATGTGCCTTCCAAGTGTTAAAGAGTAACATGGGAAGAGTTCCCTATCAGATGCCCACTACTCTTCTGCTGTTCCCAAGCCAAGATGAAAAGATTGAGATTGCAACTTTGAATATCAAAGCAATCTGACTTAACTACATGCAGATGAGATGGGGGGGGAGTCTTGCTCTTCTTTAAGAATCATCTTTTGGATCATGTTCTTGATTGGCTTATACTGGTCGGGGTCAATGGCCGAGTTTCCTATAAAGTTAGCTTATAACCATCTGGCACAAGTTTTCCAAGCGTGGCCAGGGACCATCTTGTTGCATCTCCAGCCTGCTGCTTTGTTACTTACACTGATTTTAAGATGTAACCTGCCTGCCTTCACATATGTACCTGCTTCTTCTTGCCTTATGTGCAAGCCTGAACCATTTTCTTTTAACAGCTGCCACCAATGCCAAAAGATTACAGTACTCAGCTGAAAGAACTAATAAGAACTATGCTTAGTAAAAAGCCAGAAGAAAGACCCAGTGTGAGAAGCATACTGAGGACACCATATATCAAGTACCAGATCTCTCTGTTTTTGGAGGCCACAAAAGCGTAAGATGTATTTAAATTCCCCACCTTGTTTATAGATCCCCCCTCCCAAACCTAGGAGTTCCCCTGAGTTTGAAGAAACATTTACCCTCCCCTTGGATGGTCTGTCTTTGCAGATCTTTTGATCCACATGGAGAGGGGAACAAACTTGGGAATAATGAAATCATCCTCTGTTTTTATTCTGCTGCGTTTGTTGGATAAACATTTATACCTGTGCAGAAGAGGTATCTGAAAAACTGAAGAATGTTTTCAGATTTCATAACTGTACATGGCTCCTGTGGGAAGCTCCCCAAGTCTGAAGTACTCGCTTCAATATAACAGATTTAACGTATAAAATTCACAATTACTTATGATACATAGCCACTAATGTAGATCACTTTACAAAATATAGGTGTATCACTGGATATTAGCTGTAATTACAATGAATTTTCAAATTGTATTAGAATGAGCAAAGTTGGTTGCTGGATAGTGGGAACAAGCAGAGAATGGTTATGGTACATGACACATGGCTACCCATTATTGGAGATAGAATACTGGGGTAGATGGACCATTGGCCCAACTAGGCAGTGCTTAAGAGTTGTCAAGTCATTCTATATCTCATGTGTGCATGTCTGTTGACATGACAAGCAGTGGGATGGCAAAGATGCATACATTCCATGTACCATACTTTGCAAATCTGTACATTGGGAGCAGACTTGACTGTGAGATGGGGCAAACAATATGTTATTTTAAAATAATTTAATATTGGCAATACCTTAATAGTTGTATCTGCTTGATTTTGCCTCAAAGAAAAACTTCAAAAAATCATAAGAAAATTTCTGATGCCAAACCCCAAAGTTCCTCAGTAGCCTCAGGGAATAACTGAAAAATGGAAATATAATATCCCAGAAACTTCCTGGCGAGCACTCATGGAAATCTAAAGGAGTAAGTTACAATTCAGCTCAGTGCTTAGAATAGTTGTGATAATTCAGTGTCTGTTGCCAATTTGGGTGACATTAAAATAGATGTAGATTTTTATTTAAGGCGACATTGTCAGTATCTTGTATGCAACCATAGTTGTGTCTGATGATTCTCTTTATGAAAGCTTTTGGCATGAATTTCTATAACTGCTTGGCACTGGAAAAAGAAATGAAGCGTGAGTGGATGAAAAGTAGCTGCCAGCACCATGTTGTAAGCAATAGCAGATGGGTTACTGGTGTGATATAAAAGGAAGGCTCTGTGGTAATTTTCATGATCGTTGGCACAAAAATGCATGCAAACAAAACAGTTTTAGATCTAGTTTCACATTTTTTAAGGCTCTGCTCTGGTGCAAGGTATAAAGAATCCATTTTATGAGCAGCAGGAATTTTCAGGAATATTCTGTTTGTGATGACCCTGTTGAGTTCTTGCATTGTTTTTGAAAATAAAATTGTTCATAAAATCCATGAATTAATTTTCCATGATTTTCTTTAACTTACAGAATGAAGAGAAATGTTTCATTAACAATAAAACCTATGAAGTTTCTCC